ATAGATAGATAGATAGATAGATAGATAGATAGATAGATAGATAGATAGATGGATAGATGGCACAAGGTGAGTTGAAGATGAAGGGGTCATATCTGGAGAATAAAATTAAGGGGTGAGAGAGGATTACACTGGGAGAGGGAAAAGGGAGAGGTAGAGCAGGGTAAATTATATCACAAAAAACAAACGAAAAGGCTCTTGCAGTGGAGGGGAGGCAGGGGAGGGTGGCGGGGAATGAGTGAATCTTATTCTCATGGGATTTGACTTAGGGAGGCAATGGCATGCACACTCAGTTGGGTATGGAAATGTCTTGCCCTGCAGGAAAGTAGGGGGAAGGGGGGACAAGAGAGTTAGGGGATGATGGAGAGGATGGCAGATTGGGAAAGGGGGTAGTCAGAAGCAAATACTTCTAAAGACGGACAGTGTCAAAAGAAAGAATAGAATAAATGGGGGGGCGGGATAGGATTAAGGGAAATAGAGTTAGTTTTTCACAGCATGTCTACTATGGAAGTGTTTCACATAACTGCACATGTATAACCTATATTGAGTTGCTTGCCTTTTTTCAGTGAGGGTGGGTGGGGAGGGAGGAGGAGAGAGAATTTGGAACCCAAAGTTTTAAAAACGCATGTTTAAAAAAAATGTTTTCACATGCAACTGGGAAATAAGAGATATAGGAAATGGGGTACAGAAATCTATACTGCCCTACAGAAAAATAGAAGGGGAAGGGGATAAGATAAGGGGGGAGAGATAGAAGGGAGGGCAGATTGGGAGAACGGGTGTTCAGAATGCATGTCGACTTGGGGTGGGGGAGGGGCAAGATGGGGTGAGAGTTTGGAACTCGGAATCTTGTGGAGGTGGATGTTGAAAACTAAGAATAAATTTAAAAAAAAGGAAAGAATGAAAGAAAGAAAAAATTCACAATGATATTTATATAGGGTGTTTCAAAAGTACTAGTCCAGTCTTAAACTAGGAAGGAAGGAAAGAAGGAAGGAGGAAGGAAGGAAGGAAGAAGGCAGAGAGGGAGGAGGGAGGGAGGGAGGGAAGGTAAGCATTTATAACCTAAACTGTACTGACTTTGGGGAACCTTGTATAGAACACCCTCTCATTGTGTAATTTCTCAATCTGAAGTACTAAATGTTCCATGAGGATTGCACCAATGAATCAATGATAACATCATAAAATAGAGCTTGAATAGAACACAGAAAACTTTGTTGGAGGTGAAAGAGATCTGAGAGTATAGGAAATGTAATGTTAGAGCTAAAAGTGATCTTAAATCCCAGCAAATATTACTACTGAGACTGAGAATCATAAAAATTCTCTTTATGTAACATTTTCATTTTAAAAAGTGCCTTCCTTACAACAACCCTATGGAGGTATGCAATGTAAACATTATTATCCTTATTTTATTCGGGGGGGGGGAACCTGTGGCCTTGAGGCCTTCTAGGTCCTTGAGTGTGACCTTTTAACATAAAACAAATCCTTTTATGAAGGGGATTTGTTCTGTGAAATTTGGATTTGGTCAAAAGGCCACACTTCAGGACCTAGAGGGCCACATGTGGCCTCAAGGTCACAGGTTTCCCACCCCTGATTTCTAGTCTAACCCTCTGTTTTTACTGACAAGGAAACTGAGGCCCAGAGAGGTAAATCGAAGTATACAGCATGCCATAGTTAGAGTTATTTTTGTCGACATCATACAGTGCTGCCTTCCTCAATCAAGAGCTATACAGAGACGCTGTTGGAGACACACACTCTAGAGTCAAAATCTGACTTTTGTCCCTCTTGTATCTAACTCAATGTGAGAACTTTTCTTAAAAACCAATGGTGAATAATAGCAACATGAGTAATGGAAAGAAAGCGAGATTTATGAGGAGAGAAAAAAAGCTTAGTTCTGTCACTTAGGACTTTGCACAACCCTGGGTCTTAATGTCCTCATCTGCAAAATGGGGGAGGAGAAGGGAGATGATTAGGGGTGACCTCATCCTAAATTAGAAATTCCATAATTTTTAACTACATAGGTATCTATTAAAATAGTTTTAAATTCCTAAATTACGCTCTAATAGTAGTTTAAAACCATATCAAATTAAGAAGAATTCTCTGAATTATTCCCACTGTTTTTCAAATAAATTTTGAGAGAAAGAGAAAGATAACAGAGTATTTATTGGTCTCCAATTGTAGCAATCATGAAACCTCACTGGGTCCCAGGCTCCTCTTCTACAAAATGAGAAGCTTGAACTAAATGGTCTTTAAGGTCCAGACCATGAACAATAAGATGGGATTTGCTGTCAGTTCAGGGTTTGGAAAATTTTGATAACACCTGCATTACTTATCATCACCCAATGGAGGTCAATTATGCCAGGTCCTTTCACCAAGAGAGTGGAATACATAGGTAGAAACAGCAAGGTTGAGTAATGGAAGTCTGTTTGTGCAGGGCCTGACTCCAAAAAAATTCTACCAACTCCTGTGCTTATCCCAATTAATTATGACTGATATATTAAAATACAAGCATTCAACTCCCTTTGCCTGCTTTAATATAAATCAACATACCTTTTAAGGTTGGTGAGCTATCCAGAGCCAACCTGCTACCCGGACTGCTTTGGAATGTAGTGGGATCCC